TTGTTTTTTCGTGTTTAGAAACTAGTTAGCTATGGCTTTTTCTGGGAAATATTAAAGTGGTGTATTGTTCGTGTTTAGAAACTAGTTAGCTATGGCTTTTTCTGGGAAATATTAAAGTGGTATATTGTTCGTGTTTAGAAACTAGTTAGCTATGACTTCTTCTGGAAATATTAAAGTGGTATACTGTTTGTTCGTGTTTAGAAACTAGTTAGCTGTGGCTTCTTCTGGGAAATATTAAAGTGGTATATTGTTCGTGTTTAGAAACTAGTTAGCTATGACTTCTGGAAATATTAAAGTGGTATATTGTTCGTGTTTAGAAACTAGTTAGCTATGGCTTTTTCTGGAAAATATTAAAGTGGTATATTGTTCGTTAACAGTTAAGAAACTAGTTAGCTATGGCTTTTTCTGGAAAATATTAAAGTGGTATATTGTTCGTGTTTAGAAACTAGTTAGCTATGACTTATTCTGGAAATATTAAAGTGGTATATTGTTCGTGTTTAGAAACTAGTTAGCTATGACTTTTTGTGGGAAATATTAAAGTGGTATATTGTTTGTTCGTATTAAGAAACTAGTTAGCTGTGGCTTTTTCTGGGAAATACTGAAGTGGTATATTGTTTGTTCGTGTTAAGAAACTAGTTAGCTGTGGTTTCTTCTGGGAAATATTAAAGTGGTATATTGTTCGTGTTAAGAAACTAGTTAGCTATGGCTTCTTCTGGGAAATATTAAAGTGGTATATTGTTCGTGTTTAGAAACTAGTTAGCTATGGTTTTTTCTGGAAAATATTAAAGTGGTGTATTGTTCGTGTTAAGAAACTAGTTAGCTATGGCTTCTTCTGGAAAATATTAAAGTGGTATATTGTTCGTGTTAAGAAACTAGTTAGCTATGGCTTTTTTTCTGGAAAATACTGAAACATCAGATTGTCCGTGTTTCAAAATAATAATAAGTTATTTATGGCATGTTATGGAATATATTGAAACGGTGGATTGTTCATGTTTAATGGACGGGTAAGTTATTTGTGGCATGTTATGGAATATATTGAAACGGTGGATTGTTCATGTTTAATGACCGGGTAAGTTACCAGTGATAAGTACTGAAACGGGTGATGTTAAAAGACACTAGTAACTTGCCTATTACGTGTTCTGGAAAATACCGAAAGAGTGGATTGTTGGAACTTGGTTATCTACAGCATGTTTTATTTCTTTAAATATGTAATAATAATTTCTTTTAATTCGATAATTTTAGATCATCTATATAATCTACGTGCAGAGAGCGTACCGTTAATTAAGGATACGTTCGTTAGATTTCGCAAAGTTTTGATTTTGGCGTTACAATAAATATTATTAAACATATTCTGCTCATAGAGCTGTATTTCTGTTACTAGAACATTTTTTGACGCTAAATACAAATGTGGACGAGATAAAAGAATATCTGAATTTGCTTGTTATTTAACTAGCAAATGATTTACAGGTTGGATTTACTAAACCCAGAAAAATAAATTGTTGAAACAATTTTACCACACTTAATTTTGTTGTAACAATCTCTTTATGATTACACGCATAATAGAAGTAAAGAAACAAAACATTTTGCATTTTCAGTCTTTGTTAATCTCTTATATTTAAGCAAAAATAAACACAAAGATATGTAGATGTAATGTATTCTCTTTTTGATATGGGAACGTGTACATAACACGAGTACATGTTAAAAACCCCCATTTTGAAAATATTTTGTGTTCATCTAACGACTGATAAGTGAGTTAGATGCAGTTTTCTTTGTTTTTGACACAGGAAATTTTTAGATTTGGGAGACGTTCATACTGTAATAAAAGAAAGTGCAGAAAGCCGATATGTCATTAGTTTAAGGTTTTTAGAAATACTTTCTGGAGTAAAGAACTATAAATGTCTTAGTAAATGTTGGTTTTAGAAAACGAGTGACAGCGTGAACTTTGCCTTTCATCTTTATAATGTGTGTGTGTGTGTGTGTATATATGTGTGTATTTACACACACATTATAAAGATGAAAGGCAAACACACACACACCTGGAATGATTTCATGAATTATACATACGTGGTTAAGTTGTCTATGCTCTTTTGGCGACTGTTCAAAGTTAAATGACTCGTACCTGTTTTTGCTTACGCTTACAGAGAGGGGTAGAACGAAATTTGGGTCACATTTTATTTCAAATGTAGTGAATGATACGATTAGTCTCCACTGCTGTGGAATTCCATATAAAATTTGTGGATATTATTATAAGAGGACATGATGAATTATATTAATTGTATTTTCAGTGCTATAAAATATAGTTTTATCTGAGAAAGCTTGAGATCCCTCTTAATTGCAACTTTGTGTTCAAAGAAAATGGGCATTCGTTGTATGCTACTTGGTGTTTATATTATATGGTTATGTTTTGAAATGGTTAGGAAAATCAATAGAATGCCCAGGATGAGCGTGGTTAAACTGGCTGATTTCCTCAGCAAGAGACTGA